TTAGCTGGGATGCTGGAGCAGCCCCGCCTACGGGTTAACCAGTCAAACAATATGTTTAACTGGTTAACCAATTAAAAGGGATTTTACATCCCTAATCTAATGGGATGTAGAGCAGCCTAAAAACCTCTAGGGATTGCTTTGTTGGCTGAGAATCACTAGGATGCAGGTGGCACAGAGTGGCTACATTGACTTTACACCTCTTGAGGATTTGCCTATATCAGGGGACTCCTTTGCTGCTGATCTGGCCAAGAGAAGTTAAATTGCTAGTTCAAGGTCACTCAGTGTGCGTGGAAAAGGTGGGTCGAGAGCCCACCACTCCTGGCTCTAAGTCGACGACTCTGAACACTAGAATAGAAAGATAGCTCTGCAAGTGTACGGATCTGTCAGGGAGAAAGTTGCCTCAAAAGTAAATCTGGACCCCAAATGAAGGGAATGTTGTGGTTTTGGAATACAGGTGGCACTATTCAGAGTTCAGTCCCTTTGTTTTCTTCTGTTAATACACTAATCTCATAGAATATTTCTTGAGCATAACAGTTCTCTTACTGTTGTAGGAAAGAAATCCATGAAAGCGTTTTGTAACCCTTAGTTCAGTTCTGTCCAGTGGGTACGCTCTGGTGCTGATAAATGCTCTTTTTCAGTACCTGGTATAGGGTGGATAGTCAGGAAGACTGCAGTGACCTATACCTACTCTAGTGCTATCTGATTAACAAAGTAAACTGAGTGAGTGGGGTGGAAAGACCTGTTTCCTCCCCGCCCTACATCTTCTCATACACAGGACATTTTCAGCTAATACAGGTTGAACCTCTGTTATCTGGGACTCTCTGGTCCTGACCACAGATGTTGCTGGACTGGAGAGCTCCAGTCACAGAGGTTGCCAGCGGCTGGGAGCTCAGCTATTCTGGCAGCAGGCAGCCAGCCAGGCGGTGAGCCCCACTGGCCCCCGTTGCCGGCCAGAGCCGAGAAGCCACTACTGGACACGGCCGTGGAGCGCTGGCAGCTGCAATGGAATGGCTGGGGTCGTGGAGTCGCCATTGTCCGGAAGCAGAGAACCCCTACAGGATGCACCATCCGAAGGGCAGGGAGCCCCACTGCTCTGAGCAGAGCTGCAGTCTGGAGTGGAGCTCTGGCAGCAGGCTGGGGACAGGGCACTGGCCAGACCAGCAGCCAAAAGGGGAGCCTGGGGGACAGCCCAAGGCCTGACCTCCCTTGGTCTGGCAAACTCCCTCCTTTTGGGATTGGTCAGGTGCTGAGGGTGCCGGATTAGGAAGTCCCACCAGTATAGGTGCAAGATTGACAGTCCAGGCTTTCTTTTGACAGTTGGCTTTAGAGAACTTTCAAGTACTCTGGCTGCTCTAGAACAACCTTCCCCGGTTTTGTGGTTTAAAAAAAAAAAAAAAAAAAAGAAAAGACGTACTTTCTGTCCCAGACAGATGTAAGGTGAAATTATCTGGCACTGATTACACAGGGAAAACAATGGAATTGATTTAATGCAGAAAGCTGTGAAACTTTCAAAGTAAGCAGTCTCAAAACATATTTTTACCTATAATCGTTCACTGTGGATAAGCTTGGAGATTTCTATAACAATAAGCTTTTTAAAAAAAATCAGACAATTGTTTTTAATGGACAGTGTCACTATTGTAAATATACTGTCCACATTCCAAAAGTTTTGTAAGCAAATCGGTCCTTTTTTGCAATATTACTAATATCACCATAACCATAAAATATTAACAGTGTGCATGTTAAATATCCTCTTGTTGCTATTTTGGGATAAATCTAGGTCCTGGCACTATCAATGGGACCTCAGTGGGGTTCATTTATTTCCTACATGTATCTCAACTTTGGAAGTGAAATCGCTTTCACTTTGGGGTTCTTCATGTTTGAGTTTCAGATAAGGATGTTAAATAACAATTAATGTACTAGTCGAGCCCCAGCAGGAAGTCTATTGCATTTCAAAATTGGACCTCTGCGTGCAGCCTGGGGCCAGCGGGATGTCCTGCTGATCCCGGGCTACATGTGGCGCTGCTGCTTTGAAATGCCATGCGGAGCCCAGGCGGCATTTCAAAGGGGCAGCACCACACAGAGCCCAGGCTACGGGCTCTGAGAGTCACTGCCACTTTTAAGTACCCCCTTTTCCCCACCCCTTTGCTGCCTCTATTTAATATTGACAACAAGGAAGGGGGGAATTGACTAGTCGACTTGACTAGTCCTTAACATCCTTAGTTTCAAACAGTGATGTTACTGGCTAGCTAGTTATCAGTTAACAGTTAAGGGAGGGGTGCCAATTGGTCCATAGCAGTGCTGACTGGATGCAGAGCGAGCGCACAGTGCTCACAATGTGGTGTCTAATCAGCACCCACCTTACTTCATTTGCCTTTTGCTTTACATACATGTCACTTTTCTAATACTGGTAAGGGGGGAAAAAAGTATACAGATGAAAACCAGCAGAACCTAGCAACTGCAGGCATGGGAAGTGGTAAACAAAATGTCTCATGGGCCACATACAGAACCCCAGTGAGATGCATTCCACCACTGTCTTCACTTCAGTAGCTACATGGAGTTAATATACTTGTGTTACCGCTAGGACTGGCACCTTTGAGGTTCTAAACCCCAGGACATACCTATTTATGCCAGAAATCCAGTTGTCCCACCATCCTGCCAGGGCACGGGACAACCTGAAGGGTCTGCCCCTGCTACCCAGCTCTGAGGTAGGGACACATGGGTCCCCAAGCCAAACCCGGCCCCTCTCCTCCCCACAGGCTGGGCTCCCAAGTTCCAGATCCTGATGCTGTTTGGCCCAGAGGCAGTCCAACCAGGCAGCACCCCAGCCTTGCTGCTGCTGCTACTGCTTCACCCTCAGCCCTGAGAGTCTGTGCCTTGCGCCTGCCCTCATTGGTGTGATGTGCCAACTGTCTGTGGCATAGATGCTGCCTCTGTCTGAGCAGGCTCAGAGTGATGTATTCTTACACAACTGTGGAAAAAACGGGGAGTTTTTTAATGTCCTGGGAGGACTTGCAGGTTTCCTGGGATGGCTGCCTCTAACAGGGACGATCACGGGAAAACCTGGAGTGATGGCAACCCTAGTTACTGTCCGTGAGCAAGTCCTGCTTAGTGAGAGCAACCACTTTGCAAAGCGGCACCAGAGTTACAGAATGATTTGTATTAGCTGTTGCATTGCCACCAGTTTGAGTATCAATGCCACTCAAGCTTTAAGCTATGCTCCCCCTCTTC